GTGGAAAAATGAGTGAAACTTACGAGTTTGCGATATTATGATATTGAAATTATAGTGACACAGTTATCGAAAACGTTTGTTCGTATCAGTGTCATCGAGAAAACTATGGACGATCATGATATTATGTGACATTATAGTCAAAACGATGACTTGTAAACAACAATCCACTGCATATATTGTCGCGCAGTAGACAACATAATCAAGAGTGAATGTTTTGTGTGTTTTAAACCTATGTACACATATTTTCTAGCTTATGCTTATCCTGCATTTAAAATCTCTACGACGCTCGCATACACCTTGATTGATTGAAATTGTTTCGATTATCCGATACATTTATGTTGTCAATATATATCACCACCTCATTCTTTTGTTTAACATAAAATGAAAATGAAAATGATGAAAATGAATTCATTACTTTTAGCCTCAGACATCATCACAGCCAGAACAAATTATCGAAGAGGCAAAACCTCTTGAACAACAGCCAATAGTTGCAGAACAAGAAAAACCACAAGTCATAAAAGAAGAAGAAAAGTCCATTGACGTTGTAGAGGATCAAAAACAAAAAGTCCCCGAATCGCCTAAAAAAGACGTTCCCGTACACGAAGTAAACGAAGATGATACGGTGACATTGACTGTCGATCGTCCAAAAGGCAAAGATGTTGCTGTTATTTTACTGAAAGACGGCGAGAGATTAGAACAAAATGATCATATTAAAATAACGTCAAAATCACCTACAACCACCGAGATAACAATATTAAAATCGAAGCCACAGAGTGATGAGGGCGACTATTCCGTTATTATAAATGATAGTGAGCAACCATTGATGCGTCTCGTTGTACATCCGAAACCTGTTCAACATCAAACCATGGATTTGCCCAAAACGTTGTTGTCTAATTCAATAAATACATCACACCCAATAACCAGAGAAAAAAGATTATTTTCAACGAAACAAACACACACTATGAGAACACGTCTTAAACCATTTAACAAATGAATTATGCCTTCATATGGACAAAGAGTCAAAATCAAATCATTTTTCTCTCTCTTACTTGTTCAACAATTTCTTCTTCTATTTTAATTTCGTTTTCGTCGATGGTAGATGGTTTTGTTGGTTGAATAATAATTTCCTCGGTTTCTTCTTCGACGACACTCGTTTCCTCTGTAGTAGACGGACGCTTTTTATCCGATGATGGTAATACGTGAATATGTGGCGTATCCAATATTAAATGTTCACTTTTCAATGTATAAACGCCTTCATCTGTGGGTTTCAAATCTTTAACGACAATTTTGTACGTATTTGTATTATCATCAACATTTGTCGTAATACGATTGTCGGTGGTGATTAACGGTTGATTATCTTTTAAAAATTCAAATGTTTCATCTGGTTTTTGGTCAAATGTACATTCAATCGTCAACGTTTCTGATTCGACAAAATCTGTTTTGGGCAAATCCATGGTTTGATGTTGAACAGGTTTCGGATGTACAACGAGACGCATCAATGGTTGCTCACTATCATTTATAATAACGGAATAGTCGCCCTCATCACTCTGTGGCTTCGATTTTA